GATACTAACAATCTACGGTTTGAAAAAAAAATTTTAATAAATGAATCAAAACAGAAAAATAAAAAACCATCCCTGTTGACTATTTATATATCTTGTGATCAGGTACGGATACACAAAATTATTACCGTAATGTACTGACCAAAGTACCCAGGGTACGATACAATCTAACCAAAAAAAAACTTACAAAGTACCCATGGGTATCTTGATCGGTGACAGATATTTTGTTAGGGGGGATATTTTATTTGGGGGTATTTTATATAGGAGATTTTATATAGGAGATATTATACATGACATATTTTAAGTAATACAAGATAGGATATAAAAGAATGTCAATGAACTTCTATACTAAGAATAAATTTTTTTTCTTTAACGTTAAGTACCAGTATCAAAACAGAATAAGAAGCCACTTTAACTTCTTTAAATAAACTTGGTTCAGAAAAAGACAAGGCGTTAGCAGAGGCACTCTGCAGTAACACCACCACCGGCAATAACTACCAAGCTACGACGATAACGATAACACCGTCACTAGTAAAACTTTACAGAAGCAAGCATCAAACCATATAAAAAAAGGATAGTCCGTAGAAACTTTAAAGCTCGATGTGCTCGAGTAACGAAAAAGAACAAAAGAACGTGGTCAGCATGCGAAAAACTAATGATAATCGCATATTATAAAAAAGGACGTAGTAAACGTTCAACTGCTTATAAATTTCAAATAGAACCGAAACAACTTCGGAATTGGATAACCAAAAAATCAGACCTTATGAAAGCTGCGTCTTATATTCAAAAGTTGTCACATGGGGCTCGGCTGAGGTATCCTAAACTTGAAGCCGAATTAATTGAATGGTTTCGAGATCTTAGATCTCAGCAAAAAGTCGTAAGCCAGTTTATGATTCAAGCCAAAGCTTGCTCTCTGTGTGCTACGTCTTGTTATCAAAATAAATACGAGGAAATAGCAAGTCATAAATTTTTACAAAAGTGGGTAAACGGCTTTATGTCCAGGAATAATTTAGTAAACAGAAGACGGACTACTGTTGCTCAACGTCTTTCTGAGAGCTATATTGAGGATCAAAATGAATTTTTGTCTCTTGTGCTCTTTAAACGGCGTAATTACAACTATCATCTTTCTTTAATTGGTAATATGGACGAAACCGCCGTAGCTTTTAGTATGTCAAGCACCACCACAATTGAAGAAAAAGGCAACAAGACCATATCAATTTTATCAACTGGGCATGAACGTTCAACTTTTACTGTTGTTCTGGCCTATTTGGCCGATAGTACTAAACTACCCCCATTAATAATTTTTAAACTAGTTAAAGTACCTCGTGAAGAATTTTTTGATGGCATTATTGTACGTGCGAACCCTTCAGGATGGATGAATGAAAATGAAATGTTATGGTGGGTGTAATCATTAGACAATTATAATACATATTATCATTACCATTAATTGCCGTGGATGATGCTGAAATCGAATTTGAAGGCTCAATTTGAAAATATAAGCTTTATCAAAATCCACCTATACTCTTTTATTAATAACTCTAACCTCTTTAAAAAAAAAGCTAACAAAAAAGATTCAAAAAATTTTTAAAAAACATAGATTCAAATTTTAACATCATACGATTTTAGCATCATTCGTGATATTAATTATTGCAGCATTATTTTTTTTAGCACTTATCGGTATTCATTATTTATTTAATTTATCATTTATAGGTGGGTGGAGAATGTTTGGACACGACAAGCACGATACGGAAATAATCCACGTTCTTTGTTAATTTTGGATTCATTCGCTGGTCACACAATGGACTCTGTAAAAAGGCATTTTGGAGAAAAGAATACTGACTTGGCTTTTATTCCCAGTGGTCTAACATCTCACTTACAACCCCTTGACGTTTCTATAAATAAATCGTTTAAATCAAAGGTAAAATCAAGTACAGTTAACTCTTTCTATAACAAACCGATGGTTCTGAAAAAAAAAGGTTCGATATAGGAAATTACTATGTTTTCTTAAGGATTCATGGCGCTTTTTATTCTGAAATTTTAAAATTTTGAGTTCATTATATCCAGTGTTCATTATGTAGAGGCTCGTTATATCCAGAGTTGACTGTAATGTTAGAATTAGAGTGAATATTACGATAATATTAGAAAATCATACTTCTTGGTTATAAATTTTCCTCACATCTAACAATCTAATTTTTTTTTTTTTTTGAGTATCTCTGTTGTAATCACAACTAGGGGCGCAGGTGGTGCTCTTTTATTAAAATATTATAAAAGACTTAGTTACTTTTTAGAT